ACAGAGTTCCCTGGAGGGATTGTGTGACCTGGTTCTCACTTGGTGGCGCCTGCTCGGGTTGGAGCGTGGGGACGTCCCAGTAGCAGGACCTTTAAGATGGGAGCCTCCTGCGGGGGAAGTAGGTCATGGGAGCGTGTCCTTCTTGTCGTCCGTGTCCGTGGCCCGGAAGCTCCTGGTGAGCTTGCAGGAGACTGGTCCTCCGAATCCCTGTGGGCACTCCCCACCTGTGGGCGTCATCCCCACGGGGCCTCCTGGGCTGAGCTGCGGTGGGCACCGCGCTCTTGAACCTCCAGAATGGGAGCTCGCGACCCTCTGGTTTCCTGCCTCGCCCCGCCTCAGGGATTTTGTGACGGCAGCGTGTCCTCCGTTTCCGTTGCGTGTGTGTTTGGGGCCCGCCATCGGCCGTGTGCATCCTTTTTGGTTGCTGAGGACCCCCCCACCGTGTGGAGGCTCCACAGTTTGAATGGTCATTTCCAGCTTTCTGCTGCAGTAGCCGCGTGCTGAAGTCTTCCCGTTAGCTGTGGCTTTGTTGTCCCTGGACCTGCAGAGCCCCCCAGTGCCCCCCAGTGACCTGGGTGGGAGTCTCGGTGCCCAGCTGGCACTGTCAGGAGCTGGGGACCTTCAGGAGGGGGCCTTGTGGGAGGTTCTGGTCAGTGGAGGCTTGTCCTCGGGAGCTGGGCCCCCAGTCGCCTTGGGCCCTCTCGACTCCCAGGTGGGGGCGGGGGGAGCGGGCCTCCGCAGCAGGGCCGGTCGCTCAGGGACGGAGACGCCGAGGCTCAGCCCACACAGACCTCCCCGTTCAGGCGGTCGCGGGACGGCCACCGCTGGACCTGGAGTGAGGCCGTCCTCCTGGTGAGCGCTGGGGGTCTAACGGCAGGAGCCGCTCTCCTCTTGGGCTGTGCGCGTCTGTGACCGCTGTCAGAGATGGTCTCCCCCCCCGTGGCTTGGAGCCACCGTGTGTCCCGACCTCACACTGCGGGAGGCCAGTCCAGAGGGGGCTGTGGGTGGGGCACCTGGGGGGAGCTGGTCCTGGCCCCCGCCCCCAGAGCCTGCCTGTGTCACGTGCCCCTGGCCGTTCTCCCTTGGACTCCCACAGCTCTGGTTCCCCTGGGTTCCTGGTCCTGCGAGTTGCGTCCACTTCCCCCTGCAGACGTGTCCCCGTAGGAGTGACCCGGCCACCTCGCTGTGCCAGTTGGCACATGATGGCGTCTACCTTAACCCCGGCTGTGGGGAGGCTCCTGGCCGCAGAGCTGCCCGTGCCCCGGGGTGCAGTGCGCTGAGCCCGCGCCGAGCAGAGCCGCTGCTGTGTGGCACAGGCCGCTCCTTGGTCGTCCCTGGAGACGTGTCTGTTTGGTTTCAGTGCAGCGGGTGGCTGACGGCCAGTGGTGACCCGGTCCTCTCTCCCCGCCCAGCGGCTCCTTCCAGGCAGGGTCAGGGCGCTCAGTTTCCTGCGGGTCCATGGTTAGTGTCAGGCCTGGCCTCCCTGAACCTGCTCACTCACCAGGGAGGGTCAGACGGTGGTGGCCCAGGACTGGGGTCCCTGTCCCTGAGCAGAGTGCAGCAGGGACATGTGGCCCGGACGGCCACACTCCTGACCCCCGCTGTCGAGCTGTGGCAGGGCAGGGCCTCGTGTGGACATGGTCACTGAGCTTGGCCGAAGGGGACGCGTGAGGCGATGCTCAGCTGAGGACACGCAGCCATTGTGTCCACCACTGTGTGGGGAGCCCCTCTCCTCGCAGCTGTTGTCCCTTGGTGCTTGAGGAAGCCTAGATGGTGTCTTCCTTCCTGTGTGTGGACGGATCTCGCCTTGGCCTTGCAGCCCTGTTGGTCTCAGTCCTAGCACAGCCTGGCGCTCGGCCCGGGCCTTGTGACGGACCCATCGCTCCCGGGCCAGCGCCTGCTCCTGTTCCCGAGACGGGCACCTGGCTGCCCACCTGGCTCACCTGGGACCTGTGGAGCTGTCTCCAACTTGGAAACGCTGGTCCAGGGGCACGTCTTGGCTGCGTCACTGGAGCCTCGCGCTGAACGGGAATCTAGGTGGCAGCTGGATTCTCTTGGTTCACATTTGCTTGGTGCCATTTCAGAGAGAGAGAGAGACACGGAGATGAACAACGAGGACACGGGGCTCATGGTGGCTCTTGTCCCGTTGGTGGATGTCGATCGAGGGGCACGTGGACGCAGGTCTGCAGAGCCAGCTTCAGGAGAGGAGCGGGCCCTGTGTCTGTGTCTCGGACGACACTGTCTCAGTGTCCCCTGCCCTCTGCCCTGGACCTGCTTCTCCGCCTGCAGCTCATACCGGCCTCCCTCCTCTGTGCTCCGGAGTGATCCCCACGGCCAGGCCACGAGGCCCACGAGGCCCACGAGGCCCACGAGGCGGTCTCCCTTGGAGTCTGCTGGGGTCAGGGGCAGGGCTGCAGGAGAGCACAGGGCGGACCGCACAGCAGCCGCCGCCCCGCCTCCAGGTGACACTTGCAGAAATCAATCATGTTGAGGTTTCCCAGGAGGCGGGTCCTGGCTTCGGCACCCCCTGCGCCGTGTCCTGGGTCTCTCTGGTGTGCAGGTGGCTGGCACCTCAGCGCCTTCTAAGAACTGTCCCCAAGAGGGTGGCACGGTTCAGGAGGCGGATGTGCCTGGGTGACAGAGCCCCGAGGCAGCAAGGGAGGGGGCCCGGGCATCCCACACTGACGGTCTGCTGGTGGTCACAGGTGGGAGGACACCGAGGCCAGGCAGGGGCGTGCCCTTGGGGCCTGTGGGGGCAGCCTGAGGTGCAGGCCTGGACCGTTCCCTTTAATGGGGGTGGACATTTGGGGCACGCCAGCCTTGAGCAGAAGCCACTGCCGCTGGGCGTGGACAGCTGGCCTCCTCCACACTGACCCCTTCACCACCCTGTCAGGGCTGTCCAGGAGTCCAGCTGAGGTTGGTCTGCACTTCTGCGCGGCTCATGTTCCCAGCCAGCCTGGGACGGCCTGCTTGGCCTCCGCCACCTGCAGGGCCCGGCACCCCTCAGCCAGGGCGCGGAGGCCTCCCCACGCTGGGCCTCCCCACGCTGGGCCTCCCCACGCTGGGCCTCCCCACGCTGGGCCTCTGCCCTGGGGCCTGCTCACAGGCTGGCGGAGCCCACCACCGTGCTGCTGCTGGGTGGCTGCCTGCTCCCCTCCCCGCCCCCTCGGTGCTGCGCCTCTGGGAGGAGAGCCAGGCCTGGTGGAGGAGGACTCGCTGCCTGGGCCCCCCGCTGAGGAAGCCCTCCCCTTCAGAGGGGCTGGCAGCCCGTGGAAGCCCAGGCGTGGGGTTGATGGCTTTGCTGCTGACCAAATGGCCGGTTTTGGGAAACGGACTCTTATTTTCCAATAATAGCTGTCATAGAGCTGGAACTGCTTTCGCTGGAGGAAAAGGGGCCCATGCGTGACCACACAAATGGAGCAAGTCCTGAGGCTTCCGCGTAGTCTCCCAGCAAGGCCAGCAGTCGCGGGCCTCCTACGTGATGATCCAGGCTCTAGAAAAATGGGGGTGTTTTCTTTGGTTTGGCTGATTTCCACTTAAGACACATGCACCCACAACCAGTTCTCTAAACGCCGTGTCCACTGAGGTGCCGAAGCTTCTGTTCTAGATACGTATTTCCCGGGGAGAAACCAGCTTATTGGGGTGTCCCTTCAGAAGAGCCGGGGCACCCGGGCCTCGTTTGAGAAGGCGGTGCGTTGACTTTCACGGCTGTCCCCTCTCCGTGATGGGGCGCCACGTGGTTTCTGCACCTTGGTTGACGGAGGGCCCCCACTGACGGAATCATTTGCTGAGGTGACCTTGGGGATCTAGGGCTTAGTGAAGTTCCTTAGTTACGAAGTGTGCGTCCCCACCACGTGAGTCAGATGGGGGCAAGGGGACCCTGCCCTGGAGCGCTGGTGGCACCCATCACTGCACCGACCCCGTCTCCCATTCTGTGGCTCGCTGGTGAACAGGATGCGATGCTATGTCGGTGGTCGTCCCGCTGTCTGCGTGGGGTGATGGCAAGGGGCGACGTCCGTGCTGCGCAGGGCCCTGGGCTGCTTTCCTGGTGTCCCCTCTCTGGCTGCTGGAACCACGGATGGTTGGAGCCGCGTGCAGAGGCGGCCTTACAGAACTGTCCTGCGGCTGCAGACCCTGGGCCTGCTCCAGGCACGGGGCCACGGGCTCCGCCTCCCCCAGGGCGGGGCTCCTCCTGCAGCCCTGTTGTGGATGTGAACAGGAGTGCTGTGCTCCCACCTGGCAGCCTGCCTGCGCTGGGGTTCACGGTGCCAGGCTCTCTGCCCCCGCCTCCTACCTGCCCCTTCCTCGCCTGCTTGCTCCGTTCAGTACCTGTGGGTGCTGCCTGGCGCTCCTCTGGGTGAGATCCCGCGTCGCCTAAGGCAGCTCCTGGGTCCCTGGTTGCCGCACGTTGGAAACCAACGGGGTTTCCTGGTGGAGATGGCGGGAGGGTGACGCTCCTGGGGTTTCCTGGTGGAGATGGCAGGAGGGTGACGCTCCTCCGCGGGCTGGGGCACGTGTGCGGGGTACCTGGCACGGCTTGTACCTTAACCCCTTGGTTCTTGGAAAGCGCTGTACCTTTAATTGTCAGGACGCTGTCATGAGCTTGTGGGATCATTTGATCTGAGGAATTTAATTACTCGCTTAGAGCCCTCCCTGTTCTGCCTGCCGAGGATCTGGGTGATTTTATCTAGATTGCGGGAAAGTGGCTGTCTGCGCAGTCCCCAACACTCGACAGTCCCCCAGCTCTGTGTGCTCTAAATTAAAGGCTCCTGACGCTCTGAGCTCTCGGCGTTTGCTGAGAGCTCTCAGCAAACGCAACGCCCTCTGAACCCTCTTGGAAGGAGGCAGGGTGTCCTGGCTTTGGAGTCGCTTTCCTCGCGCTCCCCTCCCGCCCCGAGCTCGCCCTGGCTCTCCTCTCCGTCCCTGTCACTCTTGCTGCCTGCCCGCCGCAGAGCAGGTGGACAGCCCTGGGAAAGCCTGACGTCCACCTCCTTGCCCAGGAGTCCTGGCCCCGTGCTCACGCAGCGTGGAGGAGCCCAGCCCCCACCAGCCACCTGTGCTGCCCCACGCAGGAGCGGGGGCTGCCATTGCCCCGTCAGGAGGGGTAGAGCACTCCCAGAAGGAGGGCAGCGAGCCCTGGGCCAGGAGGGCGGCCTGCGGTGCCCCTGAGGCCAACCACGACCCCCCAGCACCGTGTGGAGCAGACCCCAGTGCAGCCGGCACAGGCACAGGTGGGGCCCCAGGAACAGGGAGCCCTGAGCAGCTGGGGCCCCCGTCTGCAATAAGATGCAAAATAGGGCTGGGGACGGGGCTTGGGGTCCAGGGCCCTGAGTTCAGCCCCCGGTAACCCCCCCCAAAAAACAATCCCTGGTGGTGGAGGGGTCGCCATGCAGGAGAGCTGCTCCCTCCTTGGGTGCACTGGGGTGTCACAAGGGGTTAGGGTCACACTGCTGGGACCCATGTTCTCACAGGTCTCCCTCCCCTCGTGACGTAGGTGCCAGGGGAAGTGCCGTAGCCGGCCCCACAGTGGCCAGCCTCGGGAGACGAGGCCCACCCGGCACCCTGCCCACCCGTGCAGCTGGCGGCCTGGGAGGAGAGCATGTTAGGGTTCAGAGCTGCAGACTCTCCATCACTAGCACCTCGCACTCGACGACTTCCAGAGCTGACTCGGGTAGTTCCCGGGAGCCCAGACACAGCAGCCGACGTCCTTCTGGTGCTTCCTGCGCATCTGCATCGGTGTCCCTGGACAGTGGACATTCACGAGGCCCCCTCCTCAGAGCTGGGGTTCACTGCTCAGCCAGCGTGTCCCCATGCCAGGGCCCACCCTGTGTGTGTTCCCCTCTCACCTGGGAGGCTGTGGCCGCGTCCACGGCCAGGTGCCTAGCGACTAGGAGTCCGTCCAGGGGACAGTGCAGCAAGTTCCTGACGGTGTGGACCTCACGCCTGACCATGCGTGGTGCCATCCTGGCATACTTAGGAATGCCAGGTAGAGCTGGGGGTGGAGTGCGGGTCCCCAAGCCACACTGGGACCTGCCCAGGGGGTCCAAAGCCCTGCAAGGCCGGCTGCGTCCGGCACCCTCGATGGCAGTTGCCTTCAGCCGTCTCCACCGTTTGCCTGGGCATCCCCGGAAGCCTCCTGCACAGAGCGAGGCCTGCGTGGTGTCTGTCTTCCCTTCCTGTCAGTGCGTCTGTGCACTAGAACTCTCCCTCTCTCCGTCTCTGCAGACACGGAGCGGCTGTATTCCGTGGTGTTCCAGGAAATCTGTGGTCGCTACGAGAAGGACTACAGCTGGGACGTCAAGTCGCTGGTCATGGGCAAGACGGCCCTGGAAGCGGCTCAGATCATCATCGACGTCCTGCAGCTGCCCATGTCCAAGGAGGAGCTGGTGGAGGAGAGCCAGGCCAAGCTCCAGGGGCTGTTCCCCACCGCCCAGCTCATGCCAGGTACGTGTCTCCCGCCTCAGGGCCACCGTGGGAGCCCCGCCACCCACCTGGGGACGCGCTCCGAGGTCCGCTCGCGGGGCTTGCCTTTCTGTGTCCCGTGCGGTCTCAGGACCACAGAGTTGGGGGACACCGTGGGGCGTGGTGGCGCTGTGTTCTCTCGGGGGACACCGTGGGGCGTGGTGGCGCTGTGTTCTCTTAGGGGACACCGTGGGGCGTGGTGGCGCTGTGTTCTCTTAGGGGACACCGTGGGGCGTGGTGGCGCTGTGTTCTCTCGGGGGCTGCTTCATACCACGTGCGTCGTCGGTTTCACTGGTGCCTGGGTGCAGACACACCTGGGTTTCGTGTCTGTCGATATCCTGCCTCTTTCTTTTTTCCTGCCGTGCTGGGAATCCAACCCAGGGCCTTGCTCATGCGAGGCAGGCGCTGTACCCCAGTCCCCCCAGCTCTCTGTCAGTCTTCTCTCACGGCCGTGTTCCTCTTGGAATTACTCCAGAGTCGAGCGCCAGCAGTGGCTTTGCCTTTGTCTTTGCAAAATCAGATAGAGGATTAATATTTCAGCAACCATTCAAACTTTAACCGTGCGATAAGCAGCTAAATCTCTCCAAAGAGGCTTAATTTTCACAAAGTTAAAGCCCTAATTCATTTTTGTTTCCTCGTGTTTGCACGCCTGTCAGGTGGCCCTTGAATTCTTAATAGTTTCTGGAGGGGTGCTGGGGATGGCCCAGGGCCCGCCTGTGCAGGGAGTGCTCCCCCTCCCCGCCCCCTCCCCGCCCCAGCTCAGGCTGCTGCTTGGCCGCAGTCCAGTTCCCTTGGGCCTGGTGACTGGGGTCCGGTGGGCCCTGGATGGCCTGCTGAAGACAGAGGGGCAGGGTCGTTCCTGATTCCAGGCCGGGAAATGGGCTCTCTGACTCCTGGGTGAAGAGGGAGTGCGCTCTAAGATTCCTGGTGCTGGGGACAGGATCTGACCGTGGACCTGCAGCTGTGTGGGGAACCGTGCCATCGCAGAGTCGCGCTCTTACTTGTACGATCCTCCTTCTCTGCCTCTTGACCTTCCTGTGCCATTTGTGCATGAAGTCGCCCTGGCGAGTCTCGAGGGAACCCATCTGTACAGTGAACAGTGGTGTTTTACCTCAGGGTTCACACGGCACGGCCTCACAGCGCCTCGTCACCGCCGCGGGTGAGTGGTTAACCTGCCACCTCGCCGGTCCGCAGGGCCTTCACCTTGCAGCTCTGCAGCCAGCCCCCTGCCGCTGCTTCTGGGACCTTGGCCCCTCTGGGCACCAGTGCTCGGTGGAGTCCTGCAGGGTCGGTGCTGTGCACAGGCCCGTCTCACTGAGCACCACGTCCTGGGAGCACCACGTTGGAGCACGGGACGCCTGTCCTCCAGGAGGCGGAGCGGCGTTCCCCGTGTGCGGGCCGCTTCTCCTTCCTCCTCGCCTCTGGGGGTGAGCTCCTGCTTCCCGGCCTCTGAAGAGTGCTGCTCTGAGCCTGGCTGGGCCGCCCCGGGCCACCGTTCATTTCTTCAGGGTGTGCCCAGAAGTGAAGGTGCCCACCAGGTGGCCCCCTGCAGAACTGCCTCGGAGAGGCCACGCCTCCCCTTTCTCCTCTTAGTGGTCCTGGGGGTTGTACGGGGCGCTCCACCGCTGAGCTCCAGGCTCTCCCACACTGCTCAG